GTGGTTAATTGGACTTCAGCATACCTCATTCTCTTCACATCATAGCAGCAATGTATCCGTAATACCAAGTTGCAAATGTCTGTGGGTGACGGTAACTACTTCCCATTAAGTAGGCCGTCTGCTTGTTTACCTCCTTTACCATAAAAAAACTAATCGACTTTATATTATTTTGTTAGCTATTGACGACAAAAAACAAGCCCAGCTTGAAAAGACTCATCTCGTCTGTGATCATGGCTGTTATAGATTAATCGACACGTTGGGTGATTTTTATAATTATAAAAATTATAAGTGTGAGAAAGAAGCTTTTTCTCAGTATTCGGCTCTGATAGGTTGATGACAAATAAAGTATATCTCCAAAATAAAGTATACATCCAAAAATCATAATTTCACTACACACACTAACATATTTTTGATATGGACTTTGTAATGGCACTAAATATGAATTTAATAAAATTTCTATTTTACAATTGAATTTCAAGTAATCTCTAAGATGGATTAGTAACAATACTAGTTCCATTTTCTTTTCAATACAAAGAAAGAACTCTAACATTATTAAAAATAATCTTTACTATAAGAATAAATTTACTATAAAACTAGCTCATAACAAGTTTGAAAGGAGCTAAGTTTTAATAGTTATGGCAACAAGTTGTATCCCACACATAACAGGCATCTAAAGGCAAACTCTCTCCTAACTTTGCAGTGAACAAAAGGAATTTAAGTTGTCATCGTATTCACTGTAAATTCCATAACTCTGACGGTTTATAGAAATACCTTTATTTTAAGTTATTCAAGAAAAATTTTCCCTATTTACCTATTTGTATTGTTTTCGTTGGTAAAAAAGAACAGTCCAAAATAAATTACTTAACTAATAAATTGCTTTGTTTACGGATATGTCATCCGGGTGACTTGTCCTAGGCGAAGGTTAATCGTTAAAAAAATGTTACAGTTGAAAGCCAAAACACTTACGAATTGTAGTCATCTACAAACAGGTGAAAGAAAACTTTTTATATTCTGATGGGAAAAATCCCATTTAACTCTGACCTTCAGGGTGTAAAGTGTTTTTGTAAAACGTCTTAAAAGTACTTAGGTCCTGTTTTATAGTTCGCCATTAACTTTAAACGCTAGCAATACATTGTTTTCTCTTTGAAACACTAAGTATTAAAGAGATTCTTTTATATAAAAACGTTTAACAGATCATTCTATATCCCTAACTGTTAAAACCCTACGCCTTAAAGTTCATTTATAGTTTCTGTCATATTTGAAATTAAGTGTCCTTAATGCAACCATAGAAATAAATCTCGGATTCCGTCACTCTCCTGGGAGCTTGAGAACATTATTAAGAGATTATATCATGTCTTATAAAATCAAATGTAGTTCTTTCTGGCGTCTCCCTTGGGATAGGTTGAAGCGACTTGTTTTCATTGTCTTAATTTCTTGTGTTCTTTAATTCATAGAAACTTTAATACATATACACAGAATTATATGTAAGTATGTAAATATTTTACAATACGTCATCGTATAAAAAGTCATACAATGTTAGAGTCGTACATTTAAAATACAAAAAGTCCTACCAATAGGTGTAACAGATACGGTCAAATTTATGTTATGACTAAATATTTACCTCTATATAGGACAGTTAACGTCGCACGCACATGCGTGGAATCGTTTAGTAAAAACAAACTGTTATTACTTTACCATTGTTATTATTGAATGAATTAAATGTTTTTTTTTATTTTTGAATTATAAATAAAACTTATTACTTCTAAACAAACAATAGGATTCTAAATAATAATATTCAGAGTTGTTTCAGAAATCAACATTTCACAAGACACATTTCAGCTAAATACGTCATGGATTGAGAGTTGAAAAATGTTTTTATGTTTACACAAAATCCCTTTCACTGCACTGGTATATGTATATATTTTAACTTTTTTTTTTTTTTGGTGTCGGGTTGGAAAATCCTCATGGAGCCCCACCGCCCTCGGGGAAGGACGGAGGGGACTGTCAGACTCCTACTGACTAAAAATTATATATATATATTTTAACTTTGATAATAGTCTATATAGCTAGCTACCTTTCGTTTCTGTCACTAAGGGTGACTTGCTGAAATGCTCACCATGGGATGTAATTGCACTCTCATTTTCGTAATTGAAATTAATATTCGTCCATTGTTTCAATAACATTACACAACAACAAAATATACACACATGTATTATTACAATAGAACATCAGTTCCGATTACAAAGTACGTAAATATAGAGAATGTAAAATTGTCTGTTATTCCACAGCCAACAGAAATGTCGCAAAAACTTTTAATAAAATTTCGGTCGCTCAATTTAGTTTTCGCTCGAATGAGTCAGCAAATACAATAAATGCGCTGTTAACATTTCGAGCGGTGGTCGGCAATTAGCTTCGTAACTTTTGCACGTGAAACCGCGTTTTTTACTTACTACGAAACTCAAACTTCATTTTTTATTTAGTTTTTCTTTTTTGACATCCTGAATTTATTTAGTGTATATAATTTAATAAACACATTTTTCACGAGGAACTTTCGTAGTAGGTAGTAAATGGGACTGTTCATAAACCAATATAACGTCATTAATATACTTATCAAATGCCTTGATATTAAAATTCTTGTAAAAACTAAAAGAGAAATTTAGTCGGTATATCCTTATATTTCTCATATCTATAATTGAAAAATTTGTCATCTATATGTAATAATTAATATTTTTGGTGCGTTTTTGTTATAAAAATACCATAAAAATTATGAGTTACTATTTAACTATGGCAAAACAATAGTATTTTCGTTAAAATAGGCATTTTTACTTATTAAGAGTTACAAGAATTAAGAATAGTTTTGATTGTTTAGATATTTTATTAACATATAAAAAGAGTGAGACCAAAGCACATTGTCTCTCTAAAGATGAAACCATGACAGGGAAGTAGAATTTGTATATATAGTAGTGTCACAGATTCTAGAATTGTGACTATGCTTAACTTTCACAAACACTTAGATAGTACCGGGTTAAAATAATATTTTGTTTTAACACCTTATTAGATGTCATATTCATTCTTTATCGATTCTGCATTAATGCCATTCTATTCAACAGTCAGTGACAAAGCCAAGTAACAAACACCATCATCATGTTTTAATAAAACGTTTTAATAACACCTTATAATCCCTTGTAGCTGTTCAGAGATGTCAATTGCCTTTTCGACGTTTCAAAGAATCCGAAAAAAAAGTATTCGAACACTGAAGTATGTGGTCAGTGTCATTTTGATTTAATATAGTTTTATATCTTGTAATAAATAATATATATGTTATGTAACTTACATGAATGAATGGAAAACAACAAGGCAAAAGCAGAAACTAATAAAAAATAATAAACTTAGCTCCTCCGTGTTCCTCCAGTGTTCTTCCTAAGTTCAAATGACACTTTTCAATGTAAATAGTCAAACTATCCATGTATTATGTATAATTTTAATTTAATTGTGTTATTATGAAACAAAATAATAAAGTATCCTGCTTAAAATACCGAGGTTTTTAATTTACATCTAGAAATACATATGCTCGAATTCAATTGAGTAAGGCGATAAATGGGTTAAGTTATTATAAATAAAATACTAGATATTTAAAAAAAATAAAAATACTAGATATAAAATAAAGTTACTAGATATTTTATAACAATAGGTAGATATTTAAATAAATGGATTGAATATTATGTATGAACACATGTTCAGATGTAGCGAGACCGTGCTCCCAAGAGATGACCTTTGTCTATACATGAATCTATAGTCAGGTAAATTGTTCCAAAGTTCTGCTCTAACAAAGGTTGTACAACTAAAGCAAAATTGATATCTAGAAATACATATGTACATTATATTGACTGCAACAATGAGACACATTGTTAGTGTTATTGTGATCTATGTAAAAATACATAAATGATGAAAAATCAAACCTCATAATAGTAAGTTCTATCTAAATGACTGAAGGTCGGTTCGAATTAAGATGAAAATGTCTTGTTTGCATTTAGATAGTTTATAATGTTCATGAAAGAACACTATATTCAATAACTTTTCCGATAATGTCAGAACTTGTCAAACTACTTAACTCAACATTTCTAAGGTGATATTTTTAATTTTTTCTTAATACCTACTATAGTTACATTGTTTAATACAGAAACTCGTAAAAATTGATGATCAAGGTACGCTAGTTGAAGAGAAGTACCTTTGAGTATGAGCTGATGTTTAGAGGGATTTAATGAAATTACAAACCGCTCCAACACTCGATGAAAGATATAACAGAATTCAGAGAAATTATGGTTGAATTTGTGATTTTTATCGATCTTTTTTTCTAGATCAAGTGCTTGTTTTATTTTTATAGAACTCTTATCTAACTATGGGCAATACATTTTCATTTATTGTTATTATGTATACTATTGTATCCTTTAATGAACATAATTTTAAATCATTTTCTATCATGATGTTTATGTTTTCTATTTTAATGGGCCGTAATTTTGATCATTAATAGTGTGATAATTAATATGTTCATGGTTCATGGATTACAAAATGGAAATATGTTTGTCTACCTATTGTTTGCTTTTCAATTAGATCTTTAACCTTCCTATACTCGCGCGTTGGTCTGTGAGACCGACGAAACACATTTTCGTAATTATTTTTATGCAGGTAAATCCTAAGAAGTTGAGTTCCTCCTTGCTAGCTGCCGGATTTGTGGCTAACTTCGTTTTAGTGCACGCCGCGCGTTCGGGCGAAACACACGTGTTGTAGCACTCGTCACCAATCGGTCCACGAGACCGACGCGAGTATAGGTGTAACTTTTTGTGTAAGTATTAATATAATTTATTTCGTGCATTTGTATATTTTTTGCGGACTTTGATTACTTTATAAAGTATATATAGTAAAATATATGTATGTATGTTGCTCTATATTATATTTTGACCAATTTTATCATTCTTTTTTAGGTTTTAATCCATATCAAAATGGACGATGATCACATCAGATTGTTGCTGGAAGAATTAAGTTCTAGCTCAAGCTATGAAGACGAAAATGACAGTGAGGTGGAAGATAACGTGGAGGTACAAGAAGAGACATATGATACCGAGCAAGACGATGACAATGACGAGATATCTGAGGAAGAACATAATGAACGATCCCATGATTTTTACTTAGGAAAAGATGGACAGACAAGGTGGAATAAATCTCCTGCCTCAAACCCAACTAGGCGACGTGCTAGAAATATAGTTACTCAACTTCCAGGCGCTAGAGGAGAAGCTAGAAATTTGAAGGAACCAGGTGAGCTGTGGCGGCTTTTTTTTTCGGAGGGCACTATCAGCCTGATAGTAAAGTACACTAATGAACAAATTAATCGCATGAAGCATAATTTCACAAGAGAGAGAGAGACTGCGCCGATACAGACAATATTGAAATTGAAGCTTTTTTAGGCCTTTTACTATTTGCTGGAGTCAGAAGGAACGCTCGTCTAAATGCCAAAGATTTTTTCAGAACTGACGGGTCATCCCCGGAGATATTTCGTTTGACTATGGGATTATCCAGGTTCTTTCTATTGATGCGTTGTCTCAGATTTGACAGTAAAGATACACGAGAAGAGAGAATACAACTGGATAAACTGGCACCTATTAGAGAGTTGTTTGATATAGTTGTGGGAACGTTCAAAAAATATTACAGCGTGTCTCAGTATGTTACAATTGACGAGAAGTTAGAGGCTTTTAGAGGACGTTGTAACTTTCGCCAATACATTCCATCAAAACCCAACAAATACGGAATCAAAATTTATGCGTTGACAGATGCCAAAATGTTTTATACCCATACCATGGAAGTTTATGTTGGGAAGCAACCAGACGGTCCATACCAAGTTGATAACTCCGCTTTGGCTTTGGTTTTGCGATTGAGTGAAAATATTCACAATACTGGGCGTAATATCACATGTGATAACTTCTTCACTAGTATTCCATTGATAGATAAGCTTGAGTCTCAACACAAATTGACAGTTATTGGGACAATTCGTAAAAACAAACGAGAATTGGCTAAAAATTTCACGGAAATACGAGGAAGAGCCGAAAAATCTAGTTTATTCGGGCACCGTGGCAATTGCAGTCTAGTATCCTATGTACCAAAAAAAGGCAAAAATGTCCTTCTCGTATCCAGCATGCACGATGATGCCCAGATCAATGAAGATACAGGTAAACCGGAAATTATAATGGACTACAATAGAACCAAAGGTGGAGTAGATACCGTAGACAAAATGTGTGAGACTTACAACGTCGCACGTGGGACAAATAGATGGCCAATGGTGATATTTTATAGCCTAATGAATGTAGCGGGTATAAATACGTTTATAATATACCTGCAGAATAACCCTAACAAGAAAATTAGCCGTCGAGTCTTCCTTGAAGCCTTAGCATACGATTTGATCAATCCGCAACTTAGACGACGGGCTCTCATTTCATCCTTGCCGAGAAGCATAAGACTCAGGCTCACCGAAATATGCAAATTAGATGGACCCGAGTCTGCAGCAACATCTTACAATAATAAAGTAGGTCGTTGTGGATACTGCTCTTCGAAAAAAAACCGCAAGACACGTTACAACTGTGCCACCTGCAAAAAATACTTTTGTTTGGAGCATGCTGTAACCGTATGCCCTGATTGCTATGGCGAGGCTCAAAATTAAGTCAAACATAGATAAATATGTTTATTGATATGTTTGTTGTTATTAATAAGAAGTTTAATTTGTTTTTAAAAAGAAGTTCAGATTTTATTTTAATTTTTTAGTACTTAAGAAAATAATCTCAAATTTTAAGACTGATTTGTGATAAAACTATAAGTTGGTAAAATAATTAATAAAATAACTTTTAGTTATACTGTTTTGTTTCATTACATCCTAAACTTTAAAATAATAGTAATACTTTATGTGTTTCTTGTTAAAAAAATATGTTGTAGGGGTACAAACTATCGGTCTGTGACACCGTGCGCGAGTATAGGTGTTACAAAAATTGGCGCGAGTATAGGAAGGTTAATTTCAAATTTAATATATCTAAACTTATATCGCTTGTACAATTTTGTGTGACAATATAATATCAATATGAATAGGCTACATTAATGAACGAGGCGTACCTTTTTCGAATATTTAAATATAAAAAATGGACAAACGTTTTTTTATATTATGAGAGACAATAAAAGACCCAATTCATTAAGAATTAGCAAAAGTAAGCTGAAAAATATTTTTTCACAACGATGCACAAAAATGATTCTCGTCCCAGGTTTTATTTTATATTATGTAACTAAATTAATCTTAACCCTCATGCCTGCTCCGGCCAGAACAAAGGTTAATGTATCGTAAAATGTTTCAAAAAAATCTAATGTAATCTTATTCCTGAGATTTTTACTTTTTAGAAATAATTACGGAAAAAAGGTATATACTTATTGCATTATAACAGTAACATGTGAACCCCTAAACGATTATTATCCTATATCCGTGTAGTAAAAGTATTAGAGAGAATTCTGAATTTCTTAAGGTACTTTAAAAATTCACTTTAAATGAACTTATCCCTCTAGTTATCATAGACACGAAACATATACAGACACTGACCCGTCTCTTTAAGAACAATCAGTCTTTGATCTTTCTGCTTTTGATTTGTTTTAATTTAGTCAATGGCTTGATAAAACTACAACCGTAATGTCTTCCGAACAACAATACAATTTGTATTCAAGAATATTTCTGATGTATTTTTATGTACAGATAAAGCGGTGCAGCTTCACCTCGATATTCCCTTAAGTGCAATAATGTTGTTTCACTAGTCGCTACTTCTCGAGGAATATTTTATTTGTTGCTTGTTTATTTACTCGCTTTCCTTCGTGACCTTATTCAAGCCAGTTTCGACATTTATTTGTAAATTATTTAAAAGATAAAATTCATGTTTGGATTTTTATTTACGTTTTGAACTTTCTAGGAGTTGATTAGTTCTGAAAATTTTATTACTCTATATATTCCTCTTACAGTTGGACTAGAATTTTGTAAAACTTTTATTGTATTGCTTTTTTTTGTGTCCATCTATTGCATGTCGCATTACTGCTGGTCATGTGTTCCAAGTAAAGTAAACACAAAACAGACAACGATAATATAGTTTTCATTTACATATGGGACAGTCAATAAGATAATATTAATAAGGTAAAAACATGACAAAAATATTAAAATTTATTAAAATCAATATTAAACAGATTACGCAGTCAAAAATTATTCGTTCTTTGTGATGTTAAACTTAATGTACTCATAACACATGAAATGGATAAAATTATCTATATAACTTATTGAGACCTTAATTTAATGTTTTACAAAAGCAAATATATATTCCAAATAGTATCTACCAATTATTAATATAACTACATAAATTTAAAGTTGTGATTTAATTAAAATACACAAAATACTCATAAAAATTAATCAAATGTGAGCCCTCTTCATATCTACTTATCAACTTATTATTTTTTAGTCTAGTTATTCGGAGAAAGGTTCTGAAAATTTTATACAGTGACAAATCAAATCCAATTTCTAGCCAAAATTTATAAAAACTGTCAAAGTTTTTATTTAAATTATATAATATTCAAACTACGACCCCTCGCCACCGGTGCCACATTTTATTTAAAACACATCAGTGTACAGAACTGTCACCGATATTTAAAGCTTATAAGAAAATAAATAAAACATTCACAACATTTAATTCATTTCATTTTGTTTTCGATTCAATAAATTCACAAAATAAATAAATACAGCAGTATTCTGGTTTACGGTGAATGAATTGTGAAAGAGAAAAACATTATTACTTAACAGTATATTGTAAGTTGTTTAATAATAATTTTATTATTATCGAAGATATTACATTATTAAAAATTTGTAAGGTGAATCAGTTACATACCAATAAAATAATCAATTTAACTATTCTATCGAGAAAGACCGCTGCTTAATGAACTTTGTAATTAAAAATTGAGTATTTTATGAAGTGCTATTGTTGCTTCATAATTTATAACTTGTATTTCCTGTGTTGCTTTTTTATATATAAACAATATAGTCTGTATAAGACACTTTATGTAAAGATAAAGCGGTGCAACTTCACCTCGATATTCCCTTAAGTGAAATAATGTTGTTTTCAACAACTAGTTAGCGCTTCCTCCAAGTGCACGTTTATTGAATATAACCTTATCACCAGTCTATTTATTTGTTGATTTATAAAAGTACCATGAAAAAGATAACGATATACGAAATAAAACTAACATTGAATTGTACTAAAAGAATAAACTAAGGTAATTGAATGGGCAACTAAGCTTAGATATAGTAAAAATCACTGAATAACAAATATTGTAAATATAATTGTATAAGTAAGAAAAAAGGTTCATTGATATGAACGATCACCTGGTGAACGACTCACAGCAACAGTATGAACGGGTTTTCGTGTAATAATTCTTTGATTAAATTTCTATAGGTACACCACAAATATAATATTGTGACAGTTTAAACAACCACATATTATGTATTTCCTATGAAAAGCGTTTAAGAGGACCGGTTCTATGAATGAAATATTTGATAATTGTTTCAAGATAACGATAAATAGTTTACTGTATTTGATATAATATAAATGTAGCAGTGTTTATAATCCGGAGACATTTTAATATTTATTAAGGTGTCCCGAGGTACGTTGAGTGCTCTCCGAGTGATATCAGATGTACTTGTATTTATATGTACATAGCTAGTGTTGAATGGATGTGGTCTTGGTAAACTGTTCTATTTATAGTTGCGTTTTATTTTTGAATTGATAATGGGTGTATGAGTTATCTCATTTACAGTCCTGTTATATGTATAGTAAAACTATACCAGTATCAATATGACCATTGAAGCAAGCTGAGATTTGCAAACCTTCATACACAATGTGAATTTTTTGGCAAAATGTTAAATATATTACGAACGTATTATATAATCATCATCATCATCAGCTAAAAGACGTCCACTGCAAGACATAGGCCTGTTTTCATATCATATGTAATTTGATATTTGTATTGTGGAAACCAAAAATATCGTAAACAATTTACTATCATATTAATAAAAGTACCTACATCATTTTCCAGTTTCAAAGTAAACCCAATTTAAATAAAAGATTTATCCCAAAATTGAGATTCAAGAAACCAACAAACGGAGCCTTCATATGTATACATCTCTGTTGTCATTGTTTCCTCACCATTCAACCTTAACAGGTTTTACTTCAAACTTGGTCGTACAATGTATTTAGACGCGGTTAATCGCTCAAAACTCAAGTTAGAAAACGTTTAAAACATACCACAAGTTAGAAAACGTTTAAGATGGCTTCAATTTATCAGAATCATATGTACTATGTATATGTTTGTCATATTTATAATCGAATAATAAATATTATTTATTTCAATCCAGCATTATTTAAACATTTCCTTGCTTGTCTCATCACGTTGATCAAAGCAAACACACTGGAGTCCCAGAAATAGCAGATATAACGCTTTATAATAATGAGATACAAAGAATGGGGTCAAACATTTGAATGCTGATTTCAATACCCATAATTTTGACATGAAACCTATCGTAAAGTTATTAAGAAAAATATTTTTAACGTATTTTAAAACCTTTTAAATACAAACCTTTGACTCGTATAATTCATACAACTAGTTACTAGATTTTTCATAAATAACAAATATATGTAGTTCCCCTTAAAGTCAAGTCAATATATTAAACTTTTTTCGAAAATAAATTACTATGTTTCATTTAAATTTAAGAGAAATGTGTTTAGTAAGCACCATTTGTCATCTGATTTAATTGATGATATTAAACAATAATATTTAATTAATGAACTTCATAAATCATTGTGTCCCGTGAAGTTCCAACAAGCCTCGTGTCATGTAATTTATATACAGATGTTATCACACGGCGACGTCACACTACAAAGCAATTAAATTTATGAAATATAACTGGTTCCTATAATATCAATATTATATTGTGATGACATAGTAAGTGGCGGGATTTGATTTAAGCGATACAAATGTTATTAACATATACGAAAATCGTTTACAAACTTAGACCTTCTCGATGGCTTTACCAAAAAGTTTGAAAACGAAAATTTCATATGAATGCGTCCTACCTATTTTAACATACAGAGCTAAATGTGGTCACACGAGCCACTCGAGGTGCAACTTGTCCACCAGTTCCAAGTCACTCTGCTACCTATAGAAAGAGTTCTATTCTTAGTTCATTAGTCATATAATAAACAGCCTTCGGTGCAGGTTGTACAGAGGATACAGTGAACCCGTAAAATAAAAGTAGAAGTAGTAGTTTCCTAGCTAAGTTGCTTCTTGATACCAGTAAGATGACAAAATGAAATGCGAGAAGAATTGAACATCAAGATCCGTGTCGTGCTATGAAAAGAAATTACATTCAGCAGTCAACTGATTAACTTTATAACATTTTACAGTTCGTTTCTAAGTGTAGCAATTAAAACCCTAGTAATTAAAATTCATTACTAGTTTTTATCTTAGAAATAAGTCTCTGTCCCTGTCAGTCCCCTGGGAGCTTGGGAACATTATTAAGAGATTATATCATGTCTTATAAAATCAAATGTAGTTCTTTCTGGCGTCTCCCTTGGGTTAGCTTGAAGCGACTTGTTTTCATTGTCTTAATTTCTGGTATTTTTTAATTCATACAAACTTTATTACATATACATAGAATTATATGTAAATAAATAATTTACAATACGTCATCGTATAAAAAGTCATACAATGTTAGAGTTGTATATTTAAAATACAAAAGGTCCTACCAATAGGTGTAACAGATACGGTCAAATTTATGTTATGACTAAATATTTACCTCTACATAGGACAGTTAACGACGCACGCATATGCGTGGAATCGTTTAGTAAAAACAAACTGTTATTACTTTACCATTGTTATTATTGAATGAATTAAATGTTTTGTTTTATTTGTGAAATAAAATAAAATCTTAAAAGTTGGAACAACAAGGATATAAATTTTTTTGAGTTCAAAATTATGATTTTATAATATGCAAATATCACATTTGTTTATGAAAAATAAAACACTACTGGGGTTTTACTTGCACTCCCTCGCAAACTACAAGACAATAATTTAAAATACAAGACAAATTAATAAGTGTTAAAACCTAAAAAGTAATAATATTAGGTTGACCGTCTTTTAAAAAACATTTTGTCCTTAAAAACAGATTGACAGACGCTCGTCTTGTATGATATCGAATAAAAGAGTTATGCAACTCTTCTTTTTTAAAATAAAAAATTGATATTATGATCGTTTTTTACTTTTATTCTTTTAACCAATATAGTATTTAAACAAAGTAACCGTCCAGCTGACTCATCAGTCGACTTATTTTTAAGTTTTCTAATTACTTATGATGCTTTAGAAAACAATGCTCCCAAAAATAAAACTTAGTGCTTTCTTTTTAAATTAATAATTATATTCTATCTGTTGTTAAGGGAGTTTTGGCCTAAATCTTATGACCTAGCAAATCATTCACTAAAAGTGTGTGTCACACTTTATCACACATAACTCACACACTACTTTTAGTATGGATTATATGAGAGACGTTTATATACTCATTCGTTCAGGTGCCCCTCAGTATTTCTGTTTCGAATCAGATATTTAAACAAATATTGAGTTTAGTTTTGAGCACACCCTCCATTACGGAAAGTTAACGTCACTGAAGGTTTGCACATATTAACTTATATAATATTATAATAGAAGTGATAACAGAAAAACCATAAGATACATTTTAATTTGTATCACCGTTCAGAAAACAAAATAGAATCATTCAGATTGTTCATTTACCTACAAGTTAGCGATCAATGAACCAACAAAGTTGACCCAATGTGAAAAATGGAGTGAGTACTTGATGCAAGTGACATTTACGATCAGCAATACAACTATGACGTTAAAATATCAGAAAATATGAAAATCTTAACCCGCTTCGTTTA